TAACATATTCTTTTAATGGCTGTTTTGCTTATTCAACAAAAGATGCTTGTCAAAACGCCGCTGCCTGTATTAGTAAGACAATTTTTTTCTTCATCTATTAGTTGTAGTTTAGTTTTTTGTTATTCTATTATTTTAATTAAGCTGACGAAATATCGAAAAAAGATAGATTAATTGCTCGACAAGAAGGTCGATCATTTACGCATACACAAGGTGTATCAACAATTATCTATACAGATGGAGCTAGTATTAAAGTACAAGTTTTTCTTCTATGTTCAACAAGTGAATCAATGAAAGCTCAGAGAGCTGATGATAATAATTATATAATACAAATTGAAAGTAAATGTGCTTGTCCTGGTAAATGTACTTATAAATCGAATGGGTTAACAGGTGGAGCTGTGTTTATAATAATTTTAATTTGTATTATTACAACTTATCTTATTATTAGTATTATTTTTCTTCGATTTGTTAAACATGAACAAGGTATTAATCTTATACCAAATCGAACCTTATGGTTACAGATTGGAGCTGATGCAATGAATGGTGTTAGATTTACTGTATCGAAAGTTAGAGGACGAGATTCATATGAAAAACTTTGAAAATAAAAATATTTGTTTATCTTGTTATTTTTTCTTTATTTTATATAAAAAAAAAACTTTGATTATTAATGTAAAGAAAATTATATACGTGCTTTTTTTTCAGTATATTTATTCATAATTATAATGTATGTTCCTATGTTGAATTTGTCAATTGGTTATTTTTTTATACTCTTTATTCAAACGATTACTTGTGCATCGCCATGTATCTACGATGTTGGAAATGGTCAACAATTAGATGTTCGCACGTTAGGTAATGCAAATGGAAAAACACCAAAATATGATAATATACCTACTACAAGTTCTGTACCACATACTTTAAGTTGGAATGCATGTTTTTCTTATACAAAGTCGGGTGGTGGTGGTTGTACTAATGCTGCAGCATGTTATAGTATGTAAAATAAACTTATTACTTTTGAATTATACTATATTTTATATAGCTGATACGAAAACAGGTGTATCAACTGTGATTGCAAGACAAAGTGATGCTAAATTTGAACAACATGACAACGGAAATCTACTTGTTTATCATTCACCTGATTTTCTTCTAACTGTCCATTTAACATGTCGTGATGCTCATGAAGACACAATAACTAGTCGTCAAGATGACCTAACGATATATGATATCTTTCTTACATCTCGATGTGCTTGTCCTGGAAAATGTCACTATTCCGATGGATCTATGAGTGGTGGTGCTGTTTTTATTATCATATTACTTGTACTTCTTTTCGTATATATTGTTGGTGGAATGCTCTTTTTAAAATATTCACGTGGTGCTACAGGTGCAGATATGATACCAAATCGTGTAATGTGGTTAAATGTAATGTCATATGCAATTGATGGAACACGTTATAGTATTCAAATAATTCGACAGAAAAGTTTTAATGTTAATTATGAAAAACTATGAAAAAAAGAAAAGAAAGAAAAAAAGAAAACAAATCGTTTTTTTTTATATATATGACTTATTGCTTGTAATTGTTGTGTAAGAACGAGAAAAAGAATACAAGAAATAGAAGAATGAGAAGAAAAAAAATCTGAGTGATCTCTTCAAAACTCCCGAATATGATTAGTAACAGAGAAAGAGAAGAAGAAAAAAAAAAGATTTCTATGAGTGATAGATGAATACAAGGCAAGTGTTAACAGTAGACATCAACAAACGAATAATTGAAGAATGAGCCATAGATAGACAGAAAAGAATGCAAACGATGGTATTTCCGGTCGGGCATATACTAACTAGTAATAGTCTCATTTCCATAATCGGGCCAATTTTTATTCGAATAGATTCTAAATGGTACACTTTTGAATGCTAATAAACAACTTAAAACTAAGGTAAGATATGAATTTCGTATATTACATAAGCATACACTTAAATCAACATACAAAAAAAAAAAGATCTTTGTTATAGATTTCTGTTTCGCTGCTTTTCTTTCTGTTGAGCGAGTCAATATGTGCGCTTATTTGAACAATATATGTAAAGAATGCCAACAAGAAAAGAGCTAAATATGATTGAATATAAACAGTATGAAGGACGAACATGTCGATTGACAGGCATACGACAGCTAAGGTCTTTTCTTTTGTATAGATTTATACATGGCTATTCTAGTATATTAATTTGCGTGTCATTTTATTTCTGGTTGACCTATTCATGTGCTATGTTGGACATTATTTCCTGATCAAAATTAGCCGTTCACAATCATGTTGTCATTAAAAAGAAAATAAAAGAGAAAGAAAAGCATTTAGAAAGTCCTTTCATGTTACAGTTGGAAATGGAGAAGAAAATAGTAATATTCGTGCAATAATCTTCCTCATAAATTATCTTCTTGTTATTCTTCTTCTTCTTCTTTTTTTTTGTTACGAGTTTCTCCTCTCATATTCTTTTTTTTTTCAGCACGCACGCATCTTATTCAATCTTTTTTAGATATTATTAGTCGAAAAATAATGTCGATTAACAAACGTCTCATGTTTAATCTCACTTGGTCGAAATATACAAATGGAAAAATTTTTAAAACAATAAATAATCATAGTGATAATCACATATCGTCAGATTCTTGGATACCAAGCCGATTTACCATTGTTCAACGAACATTATTTATACTTTCACTTGTAAGTTATTATACGTTTGATTAATTAAACAATAGACAAAAAAAATGTCACAAAACAATCGACAGCCGAGAGAAATAATTACCTGATGAAGATATGAATATTAAATGAACTCTCTTTATTCAATGACAAACCTTGCTTGTCAATGATTACAAATGAGGCATAATCGATTATATCTAGAACTCAATTCAAAAGACGATCAATCGTCTAAAACTATATAAATATGTTTATTCAAGGATAATATATATATTTATCTTCGCATCTTTTTTTAACTGACAAATCCTAAGAAGCTTCCTGTCATTTTATTAAACTTCTAGAAAAAAAAGGATTTATTCTTGAAGATAATCATATCTAAAAGAAAAAGCATTTTACGCTTTATTTCTATTTTTTACTTCCGTTTTTCTTTTATTATGCATTCTACCATGGTTAACGATTTGTACGTGATATTATTTATTTTTCGAGATTTAGCGGTTTGTTTTTCTCTTAGATTTTAAACACTCTCGGAACAAATAGGATGTAAAACTCTTGGGGGTTGTGTCTATTAGAATATGATAACGATTTCATCTTGATTGCGGACAATTTTTTTTCTTCTTCTAGTGAATTAAAAGAAAATGTCCGTAAAGAAAAAGAAATGATTCGCAATTGAGATATGTCTGTATTATAGGACTAAGACAATGAATTATTTTTATTAATCATATTTTTCTTGAATTAAATTATAATTCTATATCACTGATGTGTCTTGTTAAGTGTATTTCAAAGTTTATTATAACTCTAAATACAATAGTAATATTGAAAAATATATTTTCATTTAGAATTGACATCAATAAAATATAAGATTCGACAGTAATCTATTTTATATTAAACTTATTTCCATTGTATGATTATATTTTTATCCGTTCGAGAATAGTTTTTTTTCTACGATCAAAATAAAAACATTCACAATGACTTAGACATGATCATGTTTATAAGTAATTCATCCTTCATTTGTTATAAATTCCAATATGTAAATCTATTTAATTGAGTTTTATCTATCTATCTTTTTCTCTATAGATTGTTCTTTTTTGGATTTTATTTATCATTATTTATATATCAAGTCGTCTTATACTCAAATTTCTATCAAATTTAAAACGTTTTCATTTTCATTATGATTCTCCATCAACATCGAATGATAAAATCTGTCGAGCATTTGTCATTTCATCACATCATTATGGATCATTTCGTCCAACTCATGTACCATCACCATTACTTTATCGATCTGATAGTCTTTTTTCAAATAATGAACCAATTTTAAATGATAAACAACCAATACAAACAAAAACAAATAATAATAGTCTTTTAGAACATTATCTTGAAACATATAATCCATTAAAAATTGATTTCAAAGATGAAACTATTTCAACATCAAATATTAAAGATTTATCTTATGAACAAGCACAAAGTGATACAGATACACGTCCAATAACAAATTGTTATGCATTTACTTGTACAAATAAACGAAAAACACATCAAGGTGAACAATATACTCGTTTAAAAGAAGATAATTGTTCAGCAACTATGAGTGCTGTTGATGATCGACTTTCTGAATGTAGTACAAAATTAACTAGTACAACATTACCTATACTTATGGTTACAGATTGTTCTAATAGTCAACGATTACATACAGATATTATTGAACTTGATGATGATGGAGAAGACAAATAATAAATGTTGTATTTAAATGTCATTGAGCTATTTCATTTTCTTTTGTATCAATATATATATATATAGTTTTCTTTAATAATCAATAATATTGAGAAGAAAAAAAAGAGACACAATGTCAAATGAAATCATCGATTAGTTGATGTATTTTTGATAGGAGAATCGATTTTTTGCATGATCACAATTGAATGTTATGTTATAAAAGGAAAGAAGAAGAAAAAATAGCTCGACTATTTTTTTAATGTTCGTTCGACGTTTTTCTTTTTTTTTTTTGTTGTTTGTCATATGAACAATCACGTCCAGCGATTTCCGGATATAACAAGTCAATGAAAATAAAGCGGCGATTTGTCGTTTGATGATAGTTCAAAGGTATCTCAGGATGTTATTGTTCATTTAAACGCAGGCTTCTTTTTGATTCTTAATATTATTTTTATTCACCTTCTTACATTTTCCTTCCTGCTGTGCTCACCATTGACAAATGTATTATTAACGTCGTTCAACACAATGCATTTATTTCTTTTCTCTCTTTTATTTTTTGAGTTAGTATTTTTCACATTTAATGTTCAGTAGGATTAGATCTCTAAATGTCTCATACAAGTACAAAGCATATATATATATATATGTTGTCTTCTTTGTTCTCTTCTCATCTATGCAAGATATTGTTTCACGAGACAAATAACAAACACACAACTGTGAGCGAATAAACTGACGACGAGACGACTGGTCAATCAACACAAGCAACTTATTTTCTCTACTACGGATATTTGTCTTTTTTTTCTCTCTCCTTCTTCTTCTCTTCTTCTTCTTTTGTCACTCTTTATATTATTCTTTAGTTGAACACATCGACCTTCCATTCGTCGTCTATGTAGATTCGCATTCGTTTATGAACAAAAAAGGAAGAAGAAAAACTTCCGTATAAATATATACTTTCGAACAATACAATGATATAAATGTTGTTTCTTATTGCACATACAAAATCCATTCATTTATTTTAACGAGAACAACAAATGCACGTAGGAGTCGTTCATTTTCATCCATTCATCCATTCATTCATTTATTTAGTTTTATTTATTCAGTACGTGTGACGATTACTATCATTCATTATTTTCAATGAACTTATTATTTAATCAAGGAAAATTATAATAATGACCCGTTTGGAAGAAAAACTCTATTTACAAAGTGTTTTTAATGTTATTGACGAGGTCTATAAATTTAAGAATCATAAACAAGTATTAACTTATGAAGAACGTTTGCGTGCTTCATTCAATAAATTACTTGTTCCTAATTGGTTCAATCGTGATTATACATCTAACAATGGCCTACGGAAAACAAAATCTCATGGACAAGTGTTTCATACAAGACGGTATGATTTTAATAATAATAAAAATAATGAGACTTATGATTCATTAACATCATCATCAACATCTAACGATACACATCGATATCGATCACAGAGTCAATCTTGGTCTGAACGGCGTCCTATAAGACATGATTCAGCAGCTTCAAGCTATGATACAAATGGCAGTGTTATTATTAATAGCCGACGTTTGATTAATTCTAATGGAACATCAACATATGCTCCCGGTTTGCAACGTGTTACTCAATCATCAACATGGTATAAACCAAAAACATTTACTATCAATGAACATACAATTGATCCACCAAAACCTTTACCAAGACATATGAAAAAAATTGGTGAGTGAAATTTGATTATTATCTTAGTATTAATGTCAAATACACAATGATATCTCAAATATAAATCTCATTTAAAGTGTGAGCTTTCTATTGTTATATAGCATCAGATGTTAACATTACATAACCAGATAAATTAGATACACTTTATGTTATAACATGATCTTCACACTAATGTATTTTGTTAATGCTTTAAAATTTCAAATATTATCTACTTATCAAACATTTGATTTAATAATTTAATTGATTTCGACAGATGTATCATATTTAGATAACATCTATTAGTCTATAGATCAAAGAAAAACGTGATAGACACTTCTTTTTTTAGTTTGTCCTTTACTCTAGTTATATGTCATATCATATATGTATAATATGTAGTAATGTTGACAAGACATATGCACT